GAGTAGTCGAGTGCCCACAGGTGCGTTCTCTGGGACACTCACTCTGTATTCAGTTTGAGTGAACAGGGGCGTATTATCGTTTGCGTCGAGGACAGTCACGCTGATATGCGCGGCACTAGCGTGTACTGGGTCTCCGCCATCTAACGCTGTAAGTACGAGGTCATGAGTAGACTCCTTCTCACGGTCTAGGGTCTGCTCCAACACCAGCTCTGGGTGCTTTTGCCCATCAGATCCTCTCTTCACGTCCAAGGAGAAGTGCAGATTGGGGCTGAGCTGGTAACTCTGGAGGGAATTCACACCCACATCCGCATCTCTAGCGAAAGGAAGCACTAACCTCGTTCCTGGAGCCGCATTTTCATTAACTTTTACTCTTAACTCCTCATCCCGGAAACGGGGGAAATTGTCATTAATATCAAGGATTTCCACTTCTACTCCATAAATTTTCATTTTATTCTCAACCAAGATATTAAAGTTCACCGCACACCGCTTGCTCTGAGCGCAGAGCTCCTCGCGGTCTATCCTGCCCGCAGTGACCAGGCTGCCGCTCCGCGGGTTCAGAGAGAAAAGCTGCGACCTACCTCTGGAGACTATGCGGACTCCGCGCTCCGTCAGCTCGCGGGGCTCCAGTCCCAGGTCCTTGGAGATGTTCCCCACGAAGGAACCTTTGTCTAGCTCCTCCCACACGGAGTAGTGCATCTGCGCATTTCCTGGAGCGGACAGCATCCCCAGGAGCAAGAAGAACTTAAGCTTGTAGCTGCAGCTCCAGCGCCTCAGTGGATCCGTTCTTGTCTTTTCTTCCTTCATTTTCCTCTTAGTCCTGGTTCAGCCCGCTGTTTCTTTGTTTCTCTAAAGCCCAGGAAAGCGCATTTCCTACCGGAGCTAGGATGGGTGGCTTTTCCCAGGAGCTGGTCTGGTCTCTGTTTAGCATGGAAGCAGCACAGAGTCAGGTCGCTTCTCTGACAGCTTCTTTCCACTCTGGTGAACAGCGACGCTCAGAGTCCTAACCAGTTACTACACCAATTCTATTTTTATTTCCATTAGTTTAGTTATACTTTTATTTCCAATGTTTTTGCTGAATATTTAATGTATTATTGTGTAGCAGTGTTTACATTTAAGATTTAATTCTGACATAGGCTTCCACAACCCAAGAGCAATATAATTAGATTCTTTTTTAAATCTCCATAGAAGTTTCATTTTATGTGCTACTGAGCTTGTGTCCTTTATTTAGTCTGTTGTAATCAAGGCATTGAAATTCTTACCCTTGTTGGCTTCAAAACTTCATTTTTTATCAGGATATGTTATGAAAAACATTCCTAATAGTACATCAGCTGTTAAGTAAGCAAATCCATCTCTCAATGTGTGCATAAAAATAAATATTGTGCTTGTGAGGTCTTTGAGAAAGTGTTCAGGCTTTCAGTCTAAGAACACAGCAGTTTCACTATCTCAGACTGAGAGTTGGAGTTGGGATAACTGCATTATTCATATATTCCTATTAATATACTCAAATACTTATACTCAGACATATTACAGTGACAGGGTTTGGCAGCAACAGAATAATGACCCAGCTTCAGTTCACCATCCATGCAGTAAATCATGGCTATTTAGAGGGCAGTAGTGAGTAGTCTGTTTTGAAGCAGAGATTTTTTTTAAAAAGCATATGGCTGGAAACAAGGGATATTTCAGAGAGATATTTCCCCTCTTGTGAGACAAGCAATTTTTACCTAATACTCATCAATAGGAAAAGGTTTTAGTTGGTATTTTAAATTTTATAACTAAGGACTTGGGATATAGCTTAGTAGATTTGGTGCTTGCTGTGGAAGCATGAGGCTCTAGGTTTAACTCTCAGCACCATCAAGTGACCAGTCAATCAATCAATCAATCAATCAATCAATCAATCAAACAACCAATTATGCAAATCATAAAATTTTAGATATTTTATAAATGACATAAGCATAGATCACAAACTTTTTGTTAATGTGTATTTTTCTCAAGAGCAAATTAGTAATGAGTACAAGAATGATTTCTTATATTTATTAAAATGCACTATTCTTAGCAGACACCTCAGACTCCATACACAACTCAACTTTTAGAAGCAAATATGGAATCCCAAGACACTCTACTTATAGGACTTTCAAAATGTTTATCAGCAAGCCAGTGGAACAGGCCCTTATCTGCTATGCTCTTTGGGTAACAAGCCACCACCCTGGGTAAAGTTTCTTCCTATCCAGTTTCTGCAAACTAGTAAGAGGACTATGTTTACTCTGAAGCACCAGGGGTAGAACTAAAATCTGAGTAATAAAGATCTGAATATGAAAGGAACCACTTAAAGTTTCAAGAGAGATAAAAGTTCAGGGGGAAGGAATGTAAAGACGAAGAAGAAAAAGAAATGCAATAAACACTGTAATTGTGAACAGTATAACTCACACTTCATATGGAAAATCAAAATGTAAGATTTGGTTGGATATGATTATGATACTTAAGGCAGAATATTGTCCCAAATCTTACAAGAGACAATGAAATATGCAGTTAAGCCACCTACCCCACTTGTGTGATGTATTAAGAAACATTAGATACCTGAAGTAGAAAAAAAAGTTGATGCTCACCTTTGAAATAGAATCTGAGACAAAGGGAACCTCAGTGTCTCCAAGAGCTCTGTTTGGAATCCAGGAAGCATCATCACAAAGGAGGTCCCGAGAAGGAGCCACTTCCGGGGTCACATTGAGAAAATTAAACTCAGTCTTAGCTGACTGTGAGGCTATACACACATTGTAGGAATAAGGCAACGTTCCCTCACAGTATCTGGGGAGAACTCCAGGTGCAGAGTTGGAGCTGAGACCAGCCTGGAAGCAGCCCCAAGCAGCTGGGCTGGAGGAGCGTCGCAGGTGCAGGGCAACAGCCAGAATCACCGCAAGGAGGAAGAGGACAGATATCAGGGCCACGGCCTCCACCAGGTAGAACTGCTGCTCGGCCTGGTGGCCATAGGGCAAAGGGTCATCGCTGAGGTCTGGGAGGTCCTCCTGCAGGCTGTCAGCGAAGATCAGGTGCAGCGTGGCGGTGGCCGAGAGGGGCGGCTGTCCACCATCGCGCACAGCGACCAGAAGGAGCTGGTGGGCCGCGTCCTTGTCGCCCAAGGCGCGCGCTGTGCGCACCTCGCCCGTTCGCAGCCCCAGGCTGAAGAGCCCGGGGTCGCTGGCCTGCAGCACGTGGTACGACAGCCAGGCGTTGTGTCCCGAGTCGGCGTCCACCGCCACCACCTTGGTGACCAGGTATCCAGGCTCGGCGGCGCGCGGCACCATGTCGAAGAGCGCGGAGCCGTCGGGCTCGAGCGCCGGGTAGAGCACGCGCGGCGCGTTGTCGTTGAGGTCGCCCACCAGCACGTGTATGCTCACGTTGGCGCTGAGCGCTGGCGAGCCCTGGTCGCGCGCCTGCAGTGTCAGCTGGAAGGAGCGCAGCTGCTCGTGGTCGAAGGCGCGCTGCGCGAACACCACTCCGCTGTCCTGGTTCACAGACACGTAGGACGACAGCGCCCTTGGCTCCAGGTCGCTGGCTAGGATGGAGTAGGAGACCCGGCCGTTGGGTCCCAAATCCGGGTCAGAGGCGCTGACTTGAGCGATGGAGGCTCCAGGAGGGTTGTTCTCAGCCACGTGGACAAAGTAGGAGGCCTGATGGAAAATTGGGGCGTTGTCGTTTACGTCTGAGATACTGAGAGCGATGATTACGCTGGAGGAGAGTGGTGGCTTACCCCTGTCCGTGGCTGCGATGGTGACGTTGTATTCCGGAATCGCCTCCCTGTCTAGAGCTCTAGCAGTCACAAGCTTGTAATAGTTCTTCGAGGAAGATTTCAATATAAACTCTGACTTTTCCAAGACGTGGCAGTAAACTTCTCCGTTTTCTCCAGAGTCTCTGTCTCTAGTTTTTATCAAGGCGATGACTGTTCCTGGTGGAGAATCTTCTGGTAGGGGAGTAAATACTGAAGTCACAGTGACTTCCGGCACACAATCGTTCTCATCCAGAATTTCCACTTGAATGCTGCAATGGGATGCCAGATCTCCAGGATCTTTTGCTTCTACATTGAGAGAGTAACTTTTAGCACTTTCAAAATCCAAATTATCCTTTGTCGTGATTTCTCCTGTTTTTTTATCCAACTTGAAAAAATGCTCCACGTGTTCATCCACATTATGAAAAGAGTAGGTGATCTCTGCATTGATGCCCTCGTCCTGGTCAGTGGCCATCACTTGAAGCACCGAGAAGCCTGGAGGCACATCCTCACGAAGGGTGACCCTGAACACATCCTGGCTGAACATAGGAGGGTTATCATTGGCATCAGTGACTTGGATTCGGATCTGGGCGGTGCCACTTCTAGCAGGGTCCCCTCCATCCACAGCAGTGAGGACCAATTGGTGAAAATTATGCTCTTCTCTGTCCAGAGAACGTTTCAGAACCAACTCAGGATATTTACGCCCATCTGAAGTCTCTTTCTCTGAGACACTGAAGTACTCATTGTCACTGAGATAGTATTTTTGCAGAGAATTAGAGCCAGCGTCTGAATCGAGGGCTGGATCCAAAGGAAATGTTTTACCTGACCTGGTGGATTCTCCAATATTTAAATCAACCTTACTCGGTTTGAATACAGGAGTATTGTCATTTATATCCTGAAGAATTACTGCTACGTGGAAAATATTTAATGGCTTTTCAGCGACAATATCGAATTCCAGAATACACAGAACCTGCTTCCCACAAATCTGCTCTCGGTCTATTCTGTCACCTACAAGTAAGTCCCCGCTCTCTGAGTTCACAGTAAAATACTCCCTGTCTGCGCTAACCCGCAGCTTCCGGGTGGGCAGGTCCTGGACACCAAGTCCTAGATCCTTGGCGAGATTTCCTACCACGGAGTTCTTGGCCAGCTCCTCGGGAATCGTGTAGCGGATCTGGTCCGGGAGAGCTCCGTGGAACAAAGGCAGCAGGAAAGGTGACAGTATTTGCAGCCACCCCGCTGGGCCGCTTCGCGAGCCCCGCCTCATCCTCTCTTTTCGCTCCGCAGTGCTAAGCCCGTTTGCCAGAAGGAGTCAGTCCTCCGTGGATGGCAGAATCCAGGTGGGGTCACTTTTCTCGCTGCTGTTCACTCTATCTGCGTGTGTCCTGGCTTCTTCACTGTGGTTGGTTTGAGCAGGAAGTTCCCCAATAGCATCTCGGAAATGGTCGCTCTCTTCTTTTGACCTACAGCGACGCCCAGAGGTTTACTCAGGAAATTGCACCAATGTCTTGTAAACGTTTGAAAAGGTGTTTTGTTTTTGAAGTTTACCGTTTATTTGTCTTAAAATAGGTAATATATTGAAATTGTTCCAAATTCTTAAGGTACATAGAGCACTGACTATTGTCAGCTATAGATTGTGTAGCATAGCGCATTTCTTTGGAGAGAAATGAATATCTTTGTGTATGCTTTGTGTAGCGCAACAGTTTTAAATAAATGTTTTCTCTCCCTTCTTTTGTGTAAATGGAAGCATACACCATACAACATTTTACACTTTGATTCTTTCATTCAATACACACACCCACACATTTTCAGTGCTGGGAACTCACTCTTTGGACTTTCAGTAAAATATTTCATTTCATACCAGTATGTATAGAGGTTGTTCATTTATTTCTTATAGCCAAGTATAGTTTACCATATGGATATACACTAACTTGTTTAATCAGAAATAGCATTTTCTTAAATAAGGTCAGTATGTATTTTTACAAAAGGAATTTTGATGAGATATTAGCCTATAAATTATCTACTTTTCTCCAAACCATTAAGACATATACCACTCTGCTGGTAGATATTCTTAAAGCCAACATCTGAATGTTTTACCCAATTGTAGACCAATTGAAAATGTCCAAGTTATATTTTAGTACATTTTGGAATAATGTATCTTCAAATACGATGGTCTCAGTATTCATTTGCTATTGCCTTTCCTCTCCCCAGGTCAGCTAATTGCAACAATTCCATTTCTGTTTACTCTGTTTTGCTCCGAAACTTTCCATGAATATAAAGCCAAGAAAAAACAATCATCCTTCTTAAGTTGCATTGAGTCACATTCCACTATCTTGCTACCACTTCCAGGTATCAAAAACTGCTCATTTGTGTATAGACACTGGTTAATTTTGGATTAACTCACAGAACAGTATGAAGCAAACAAAAGTGTTGCATATCTCTTACATACAAAATACTTCATCCTATGTCAGGGGACAGATATTTTATCTCATCCCAGTGTCAGAGTGGCAGAGCTATCTGAGAATAATTTGCAGGGCTACTGATGGATTGGAATGAAGTCAATAGAATAAGTATCATGGATAATATCAGTCCAGGATCCAAGTTACCCAACCATTATAAGAAGCTTACTTGATGAAAACCAGAAAGACTGCAACAAATTATGTGTTACTTAAAAAGGCCAAACTCAAAAGTGATGTCATGATAGGGTTTTAGAAGTTATTAAAATTACTTATAGTTTATTTATATATGAAATAAAGTGGTCAATATTTTTATAATTACAAATTTGCAATCAGTTACTACTTGCACTTCACATCAGCAACAACAAAATATTTGAACTGAGTGTGGTGACACACACCTGTAATCCTAGCACTCAAAGAAGATTGTGAATTGGAGGTCATCCTAGGTGGGCTACATAGAGAGTTAAAGTCCAGCCTGAGCTGTACAGACAGACCTTTTTCAGAAATTATTTGAAATATACTAGTCAACTGAGAAAACATTCCTGTTAAAGTTACACTAAAGGTTAAATATTTTCCCACTATCCATAAATTATCACTACATAATTATAATGGAAAGTATCTTCTCAAGGAAAGAAAAGTCAGTTCCAAGCAAAGAATAGAATGTAGTAAGAGGAAATTTAAAAAACAGTCTAGACCTGGTGAGATGGCTCAGTGGCTAAAGGCACTGGCCCCCAAGTCTGACAACCTGAGCTTGATCTCTAGACCCACTTGGTGAAGGACTGACTGCTGAAAGTTGTCATTTGATCTCCACATGAATACCAGGGAATGTGTGCAATGCCTACACACACACACATACACACACACACACACTAAATAAATATAAAAATTTAGTAAAATAATTAAAAAATACTAAGTCTAGATTCACCACTAGTATCACAAGAAAGGTGCTGTAGATATGAATTTACAAAATTGCCTTCTATTTCTCATGTCAACTCTATCCTTTCACAAATGTACATAGTAAAATGGTGGTTTTCTGTGAGTTCCATGCCAGTGTGGTCTACATAGTGAGTTCCAGGTCAGTCAGGGTTACATATGAGACTCTGTCTCTAAAAAAGGAAGCGTTTTTATTTAATATAGCACATACACAATTGGAGATGTTTACAAAACTTTGTGTCCATATTTTAGTATGGTAAGATTCGTTATACAATTGACTCACCTTGAGAAGATTAGGGTCTCCTTTTGTTTCAAGGAAGTCTTGAGATACCAGGAGAGGATCACTTTTCCCACAGCTCTCCTGGCTGATGAGTGTGTCTGCATAGTTGGGCTGTGGAAAAATCAGATGGCTTTTCCCAGAGTCTGCAGTGAGGGAGACCTCATGAGAATATGTCTGTAGAAAAGCTTGTATACCATCCACGCCCACAAAGTGTGAGGTGGGCATGGATGACAACCCACTACCTGCAGCCTGAAGCAGGCGAGCTGAGTGCCAGTGGCGGAGCCTGAGTGCCAGCAGGACAATGACAAAGGCCAAGAAGATGCAGGAGACAACAGCCACTGCTACTACCAGGTACAGTGTGAGGTCTGAATCATCTGGGTCAGTGGGAATGTTAATGCTACCCAGATCTGCCAGGATGTCTGGGATGTTGTGTGACACGGCTATGGTGAGTGTGACTGTGGTGGAGAGAGGAGGTCGGCCATGGTCTTGGACTGCCACCACCAGGCTCTGCTTGAGTGCATCTCTGTCCAGGAGGGTTCTTGCTGTGCGCACCTCACCTGTGTGGAGCCCTACTGAGAATAGCCCTGGCTCACTGGCCTTGAGCAGGTGGTAGGACAGCCAGGCATTCTGTCCTGAATCTTTGTCCACTGCTACCACCTTGGTCACCAGGTATCCAGGTTCTGCAGAGCGAGGTGTCAGTTCCACACCAGTAGAACCATCACTGGGGAGGGCAGGGTACAAGATCTCAGGTACATTGTCATTCTGGTCAAGCACAAACAAGCTAAATGACACGTTGCTGCTGAGTGGAGGATTCCCATTGTCCCTGGCTGTCACTAGTAGCTGCAAGTCTTGAAACTGCTCATAATCAAAGGAACACAGTGCATACAGGACACCAGTGTTGGAGTTGATGGAGACATAGGAGGACAGAGGTGCCCCTTGGATAGTGACCTCTGTCAGGGAGTAGATTACTTGGGCATTCTCACCACTGTCAGGGTCCTGGGCTGTCACCGATAAGATGGAAGCTCCTCTAGGGTTGTTTTCTGGAATGTAGGCAGAGTAGGAGGTGTGAACAAAGGTGGGTGGGTTGTCATTGATGTCTACCACCTGCAGTGAGATATAAGTCTCTGTGGACAGTGGTGGAGTTCCCTGGTCAGTGGCAGTTATTGTAATATTGTATTCTGAGACTTCTTCCCTGTCCAGAGTTCTGTGTATCAACAACCGATGATAATTTCCATAGATCTTTTCAAGCCTGAATGGCAGATTATCTGGAATAGAACAAGTGACAAGGCCATTCTCTCCAGAGTCGCTGTCGTGCATATTGAACAGTGCAATTACTATACCTGGAGAAGAAGTTTCTTGAACTGAGCTGCTGAGAGAGGTAACTGTAACTTCTGGAGCATTGTCATTTACATCCAGAACGGTCACCAGTACCTTACTTCTGGCCCGCAGGCCAGGACCATCATGGGCTTCTACATCAATGTCATAGAATCCAGAGTCCTCATAATCCAGCTCCCCCAATACTGTAATGTCCCCACTCACAGAATTCAACTGGAATAGCTGAGATGTTTTGTCTCTTACATTCCGGAAAGAGTATGTCACTTCTCCGTTGGCTCCTTCATCGGGATCAGTGGCTTTTATGGTGAGAAGCAGGGTGCCCACAGGCAAATTCTCCTTCACACTTACGTGGTACTCTGGCTGAGTGAACACAGGAGCATTATCGTTGGTGTCCACGAGTGTTACTTGAATTGTAGCAGTACCAGAGCGAACCGGGTCGCCTCCATCGAAGGCGGTGAGAACCAGATGGTGAACCGCTTCTTCCTCGCGGTCTAAAGCACGCTCCAGCACCAGTTCTGGGTACTTAATCCCATCCACCCCGCTTTGCACATCCAGAGAGAAGTGGCTATTCGAGCTGAGCTGATAACCCTGCAGGGAATTCACCCCTACATCAGGATCAAAAGCTTCAGGAAGAGGGAATCTTGTCCCAGGAATTTCACTTTCAGCAACTTTTATTTCCCTCTGCCATGTTCCAAAGCTGGGAGCATTGTCATTAACATCGATTATTTCCACTTCTATCCCAAGAATCTTCACTTCATCCTCTAGGAGAATCTCCAGATTTGCCATGCACTTTGGAGATCTGTCACAGAGCTCTTCCCTGTCGATCCTCCCTGCTGTCACCAAGCTGCCGCTTCGCGGGTTCAGAGCAAAGAGCTGGGTCTTACCTCTGGAGACGATGCGGACTCCGCGCTCCGCCAGCTTCCCGGGCTCCAGCCCTAGGTCCTTGGCGATGTTTCCCACTGCAGAGCCTTTTTCCAGCTCCTCCCGCACAGAGTAGCGGATCTGTTCCGCTCGGATGTTCCCCAGGGCCCCCAGGAGAATGTAGATCCACACCAGCCTGCTGCAGTCTGGTCTGCAAGGAGGAGTCGCCATTACAGCCCCGCGGCTGATGGTTCTGAGCTTGGGTGTTAAATCTGTGGAGGCCTGAGGAGCCACAGATGTTTGAGTTTCAACATAATGCGCCGTTGGATGCTGGCTTTCTCGGGAGTCCAGGACGACTCTTTTCCTAAGACTCAACCAGTGCTTTGTGCTGAGGAAATCTTGCTCATGTTAAATATCTGATTCTTTCCCCCCCGATTGGTGAACAGCGACACTCAGAGGCCTAAACTATTATTGCAACTTATTTTAGATAAGCCACACACATTTTCCTTTCCTAACGCTACTTCTCTAAAGGAGAATAAAAGTCAAATTACTGTTATTTAATTTGCAATGAAAATCCAGGAATGACCAAACACTTCAT